ACCCGTCTCGCCTCCTACCAGTGCGTGCGTTGGCGTCCATTAGCACCACGAGATGGTCATGGCTGTGAACCTCCCGGATCACTGCGTCGAGAGCAGTCCAGAAGGAGTCCTTGACGTTAACATCACCGCCCGCGGTTGTGCGGACAGTTTCCGTGGGGGCGTACCCCACCACGAAAGTTACTCCGCAGGTGCGGCCAATTTGTAGACGCACCTTCATCAGCCTCGGGCTAATGCACTCCACCGTCCTACCTTCCTCGCCCACACTCTCCCACATGGCCTCCTTGATCGCTATGCCCACACCGTGTACGCCCCTCTTGTCCTTGGTGCCAGCACGGGCGCCACTCCAGATGATCACGTACCCGTCGTGTGCAATTGAACCTTGCCCCGCTCGTCGGGTCTCCTGAAGTCCTATCACATCACAGCCGGTCGCCGAACAAATCTGCATGACCGTCATCACGTTGTGACCGATGGGGTTCCTACCGCTGTAGGCGAGCGTGCGTACGTTGAACGTGCCGAACGATAGGTCGCCCTCTCGTGCCTTCTTCTTCGCAGCTGCCTTGACGGCCGCTGCGGTCTCGTGTCTCTCTCGGTCCACCTCGCGATGCGGGTATCCTTTCTTCCGTATTTTCCAAGCGGCGAATTTCTCGCATCAATCCATCTCTGCACGGTTCTTTCCTGTGGTGTTTTAACGAGGAGGGTGCAGCACTCCCTGCCCGCGGTGCCCGCGGTTGTCTCCCTTCTCCCGCGAGCGGTGCTTACTGACGTGGTGTTTACGAATCTCTCCTCCAGCTTCGTGGGCCACGCTTTCTGCGACGGTGGTTGCCAGATGCAGTTTGCCGCTTTGCATTACTGCCGCGGGTGTGTATCCAGACGACACATTTGCGGGAAGTGGTCGATGACAGGGTTCCAACTCCGAAATTTTCAAGGGTGTGTTCTGTAGGGTAGCCACAGAAGTACACCGGCGGTTTTTTGGGGGTATTTACCCTACAGAACGTTACAGACGAGTTCTGTGGCACGTCCGATACCCTACCGGATAGTTCTGTGAGATCTGTGGCACTTCCAATACCCTACAGAACACGCCTATGAGTTCTGTGACGCTCTAGCTAATACCCTACAGAAAAAGTCTGTAGACATTGTGAGCATACCCTACAGAAAAAGTCTGTAGACATTGTGAGCATACCCACTACGATCTGTGGGTTCTGTACGACCTTCGCACAAACCCGATTTTTTCTGTCGAGTTCTGTGACAACTCCGATACCTACCGGATAGTTCTGTGAGTTCTGTGACAATTTCAAATACCCTACCGGATGGTTTTGTGAGATCTGTGACACTTGCGATACCCTACCGGCCACTTCTGTGAGATCTGTGACACTTCCAATACCCTACCGGGCACTTCTGTGAGATCTGTGACGCTTCCAATACGCTACCGGATAGTTCTGTGAGATCTGTGATATTGCCATACCCTACCAGA